CTTGGTTTCGTAGAAATGCAAGACCAAGCCAAGACCGCAAGAACAAGAGTAATTCTGCTCATCACTATATACAATGTGATTTTTTTATCATGACCCACTCAATTACTTACAGAATAAATATTTAAACATTTTTTTGGTTATATTTAGTTACACATTATTCTTGAATTATTAACCAAGTAATACTTTTTTAGTTCATCCCTTATACCTTGTAAGGGGGTCAACTTTGTTTTTTTAAATGGTAACACATATTTTTATTTTAATAAAATGTTTGAGTTTTTAATTTAATAGTAAATGGCATTTGAATTGTTAATATAACTTTATTCAAATGCCATTTACTATTAAATTAAAAACTCAAACATTTTAACATTTCAACAAGGCCTAAGGGATGAATATGAAAAGTTTTAAATAGTTAATAATTCATGTGTAACTAAAGAAAATAAAAAAAAAAATGTTTAAATTATATACATATATTAATGTATATTCGGCAAGTAATTGAGTGGGTTATGATAAAAAAATCGTCCTGTAGGTATATAATATCCACATATTTTTTATCAATTTTTTTTTGTATTTTAGACGAACGCTGTTACATTACAAGAAGTTCAAAAACGTCTTTTAAATTTGTACCATTTTGTTTCCGATAAATCATACGATTCAAATATTTTTAAAGATATANATTTTTAAAGATATAGATAATAATGATGATTACAAAAACTATGAAGAGTTCGTTAATCATTTTAAACTACTATGTAAGTATTATAGTATTTACTGTATAAATAATAACAAAGAAAAACAAGTAATGTTCATCAAAAATAAAAATACTTTTCTGAACCAATATTACGCGTTAAATCTACAAGTATAATATTTTCTAGCGCCTCTATTTTTTTAAAATAATTACTACACAGTAAAAACAAGGAATTACAAATAAAAAAAAAAAAAAATTTTCCAAATTATTATTGATTTAAATTTTTAATATAACATGTTTACCTTATTTTTTTAGTATTTTAAAGGTGATTTTTTGGCTCAACTTACAACCTTAAATAAACCTTAACATCAATAAATAGAAAATTTATGAGAATTTAAATATATTATTGTTTAGATTAATATTTGGTCAGAATTTATATAATTACTATTAATAGTAAATTTATGCTAAAATCTCAACATTGTTGTAAAGTAAACACAGGTGTCCCAAATTTATAAGAGCATATTTATATGTATTGAAATATTTTTTCTCGCGCAATAAATTGCAAATCAATTTTTGAGCGTATTATAATAGCAATTTGTTAAGAATATAAAAAAAAATACATATACGTGAGTTTAGTACGTTGTGCAATACTAACCAAATTCTAAATTAAAAAAATGTTAAAATGGTTGTATAACACACTCAAAAAATTTTATGCAATTTGTTGAAGGTAGAAAAATTTTTTAAATAAAATATAGATTAAAATGAAATCTAAAAACACATCAGTGACACAAAATATACAAAAATCAAACTAGATTAAAACAGTTTTATCGTGTGTTAAAAATCTAGAGGTGAGAGAAAAAAATCTAATTGCAGATTTCAAGTTGGTGCGAAATATTGATTATGAATAAGTATATTTTTATAACTAATGATGAGAAAAAGTTTCATTTTGTTGATCAGTGTAGTTATTAAAAATAATAATAATTGCTTCATGCAGAACCAATTAATAAAGTATTAATTATTCGAAGATAAATTACCCACAAATTATATTTTATATACTATTAAAATTAAAGTTTCTTAAATTTTAATTATTCTAGTCAAAATAATACTAGAAAACTGTGATAAAAATTTAATAGCATACAAAGAAGTTGTTAATGAAATGGAAAAAATTCAGAAAACAATTTTTCAATATGCTGATATTGATAATGATAAATTCGTTTCCATCGAAGAGCTACAAATGATGATAAAAAATAAACAACCTAAACTATCTAGTAAATCTCTCGATGAATTATTTCAAGAAATCAAGGTACATGATATTGACAATGACGGGAAAATTAATTATGACGGTAATTTATTCATCAATTAATTGTTATTATTTAATATATAATATTAAATATTATTAATATTAATTAATATATTAAATTTATTAATACTTCGAATATCAATTTACTAAATATTTTTTTTATTTACTTCATATATTTAGAATTTTCCAACTTCATTAATTCATGGACCCCAAAAATTTTCAGTCTTGGACTATTGTCAAAATTTCGATTCAACAAGCTCAACAAAGATTGAACTATTACCATAATTATGATTCTGTATTATGTAATATAAAGTGCAAAAGAGAGCGAAAAGAAGACAGGAACAACCTACTTATTTCAATATAATTATATTTTATTATTGAAATCTGTATATTTTAAGACAAAAATAGAATAAATGACATAAAGACGTTTATTTACATTATATTTATTGTGTTTATTTATATTATATGTAAGTATTTGAGAAAAAATTATCCGGAAAAAGTACCATAAAAAAACTGGATATCAAAATTCCATAAAAAAATTTATATTTTCTTATAAACGACTATATTTATTAGTATCTTACAGAGAAAGACTTAATTTACAAAATATATTTATCATTACAGCAGTTTTAATAAGAATAATAACAACATTTGTTTAAACACTATAAAAATTAGCAGAGATATATAAAATATATTTATCTAATTACAAGTAGGAGTATAGTAAGAGTAATATCATAATATATATAAATTTAATAGTAGAAGCACATAACATCACTAATAATATAGTCAAAAATATTTAGATAAGCCAAATTACCAACTAACACTAAAACATTTGCTGAAGAGGTGATAGAATAATTAGAATTAATATTTTGTAAAAAAAAAAAACTTATTGTCATTATTATTAAAGGTATTTATTTTTAAGTTAAGCTTATCCAATAAAATTCCACAGTTTATTTTATTATGAAATAACTTAAATAGAAAAGATAAAATAAGAAAATTTCTAAGTTTTTTTAGCGATGTCTTGTTGAAATAATTTATAACTCTTGTATGGTCCCATACTGAAATCCTTATTTGGAAAAAACTCGCGTAATTATGCATCATTACTTTGTTTCCCAAAAATAGCTGCTTATTAGTTGGAACATCAAAAATGTGGGGATAAAGGTTCATGACCAATGATGTCAATAGAATTTATTAAACTTCTAAGAACCTTGGTACTTTAAATAAACACAAAAATGTTTAAATACAAAACTCAAAACGCCGTTATATAGAACTTGCAGAGCAATATTCGACGTCATCTATTCCACACATCGTATTAGAAACATCAATATTATTCCAATTTTTTTAAAAGTTTTTAAATATGGGAATATCAGGGCTTAATGTTACCTGAGGAAGTTTTGTTTCGAAAACACCGCGTAAAATCAGTTCATATGTTAGGTAGCGACAAGGTAAATACAATAGATCTTTCTCTAATTTTTGCTCTAGTAAAATACACGAACCCTTTAAACGTTCCATATTAGATGCGGTGGTATCGCAGCATAGAGCTTGGACAATATTTAATAAGCTCCAATCGTCTAACGCACAATAAACAGCATTAGTTTGTTCATATCCCGTCGAATTTTTCCAGTTTCGGTATATCAATTAATAAATCTAGATTTTTACTAGTTATCACAATTGGTAACCTATCAATGCCCGAGTCTCTTACATTTAAAGTTGGTAAAATCTTTCCATCCCAATGCACAGTGACATACATAGGAGGAAAACTTTGAAAATTTTTTTTATTAAATTAGCTCGTTCAATTCGCATAGCATCACGGCATCTATGTATTGAAGATTTATTTATAATAAGAGAATCAACGTCATGACCTAAAGCTTCAATTGTTGCTTGAATAATGTAAACTGCGTCTCGTGCGCTTATTTTACATCGATCTAACGCAGCTACGAGTTTCGGTGTTATGATATTTGTTTGACCCCTTTTATTCTGTTTTGCTAAAACATTAAAAGATTTTTCATTCTCAGATTCTATAGATGAAGAAGAACTTATAATTATATCATCTGATAAATAAGGTATAATTTGCGTAGAATATAAAGTAGATGGACCGGCTACTTGGTATTCACTAAGCCTTTCTGTTTCCCTAATCTTACGCTTTTTAGATCTTTCTTCTTTCTCTTGTAATTTTTGGTCGATGCCACCTAGACAACCAATTCGACCAGGAAGTCTTTAGTTCATTAAAAATTGTTTATCGGTAACTACCTTAATCAAATTTAAAGTATCAGCGTGAGCGATATCAAACAAATTATCAAAATTATTAATAAACTCAGTTTATTTTGCTCTAAACGTTTTTCCAATTTTGTGAGAATTCTTTTGTAAAATGCGCCACTTGTCATAAAAATTAACCAACTTATTTACACAGTGGTGAAATAATCGAGTAGGAATTCGAGCTTTTTCCCAGAAAATATTACACTCGCGAATAGTCAATGCTGCACTTGCTCTTATAGTAAGATTAACAATTCTTAGGTTATAAAAAAAAAACTTTTAGAACTTGCCCAATGGATGGAAGTTTTGAACCTAAAATTTGAGTAGTCAAAGACCTTATTAAAAAAATTTTATTGTCATTTCGTAATACTACGGACATTTTTACGTACACTAAAAGAAAAACACAATAGGAAGCAGTTCAACTTAATACGCGACGTAAGCGACTAAAATGGTATAAATATGAGTTCACTATACCTATTGCTGCTATTTGTAATAAATTTACGATTTCTAGAGTTATTTATAATTTAAAAATAATAACAGTACATTAATCCAGTCATACCATAGTATTATCGCCGTACTTGTACGATAAGTGTTATAATGTACCAGATGATAACTAACAGAATCTAGCAATGAAATTTATATATTTAGTAATAATCGTAATATGATCGAGTTATTTCATTGAGGTGTCGATGATAGAATTAACTTAAGATGGCCCCCAATATAATTTATTTAATTTTTCAAATTGCATGATTAAATATATTTTTTTCATCACAAACATCCCAGATAGCAATTTAAAAAAAAATATATTATTAAGAAAGGCGATCTAGGTTTTTAGTGAAAAAAAAAAATTTAAGTATACGATTATACTGCCAGAATACATTAGAAATTCTTTTTTGTTATAAAGAATAAAACGATTTATTAGTTAATTAGTTTTAATAAATTGTACTAAAATGCAACAACTTTGATGTAAAGTTTTTGGAATTAATCATCCTAAAATCATTTCATTTAATAACTCGAATAAATATAATAATGGTTTTATTAAATGGAATTTTAATTTTAATCTGTTAATGTTGTTTTAATACTTTGTAACACATATCATTAATTATAATTAGTATTGATCATTGATAAAATAAAATGTTTTTTTTTTGGTTTTGAGTTTTATCATGCATTTTTTATTTAACTAGAACAATACTATTTAAATTTTATTTATTAGGATAATATCGAGTAAACAATGATGAAATAAATTTAATTGTATCTTTCGTCTCATTTCCAAATTTGAATAGAAATATTCGATTAAAAATTGTTTTATTTCATTTACCTAAGTATAGGCAACTTTGATTTGTTTTTTAGCGTAGCTAAATGTATGTACCAGCCTGTATCTACCCATTTATCATATCCGAATCAATTATTCCCAAAATAATAATTTCATACCAATAAAATTACTGATACTTGTTACAAAGTAATAAATCAGCATAAAGAAGTAAAAATTAAATTTACATTTTCTAAAACCATTACTATATTTTTTCAAGCTATAAAAAATATATTACAAATTCTGCAATATGTTTATGGCATTTAATAGGAAAAATCTGAACATTCTAACAAATTTGATGCATTTTAGTAATAATCTACTAAAACTAACTGATTAATTGTTTTGTTCTTTAAATTTTAAAATCAAATTTTACACTATATTATAAGTACTAAAAGTACAGAGTGGTATAAGAAATCTCTTTTTTTTTCATAAAATCCGTAAATTTTATTTAAAAGACATCAACTAGGCCCGTTCTATGGTCGGACGGGGCAACGAGGGAAAGTGTCTTAAGGCGCCACACATTTGAGGGCACCCAAAAAAAAATGAATACATTTTTTTTAAATATATTTTTTAATTAGTCGATGTTATTACTTTTATACATAAGATATTTTATAACTACACGTCAAATAAATCCCAACGTCAATGGAATTGTTATATAGTTATATAGTTTGTGTATTACTTATAATGATTCCGGTCAGTTTCTAAGATAATCGTGACATGGAGCACGAGGGACGTACACTGTAACAGAACGGGGTTAAATATAAATTAGGAAACCAATATTTTGTTTAATTTGCTGGCATACGGCTATCTATACAATAATTAAATGATATTGACATAGTCATCGATGACAATTCGTGTGTACTGTGTTATAAGTAGCGTGTTCAAATTCATTTTTAGTTGTTTTTTTTTTTTACTTTATATTTTATTTTACAATGGGAAAGAATAATTATATAGGATTTCAGTATATTATATTATTGAGATTTGGGAGTTATTACAAGCGTAACGAACGGCCTTGAAAAAGGGATTAATGTAGTAAAATCTTTCATGGAAAATATATTAAATTTTTATCAATTATAAATAGGGACACCAAATATATGACTGCCTTATAAGATCGCTAATAACAGTTAGTGCGGCTCTGACATCAATACTACATTAAAGTTGTCGAAACAAAGTGTAGCACAAATTTTTTTATTTTGAGATTCCCGATTTTATAATTTATAACAGCTCACTAAGTTAAATAAAGACTACAATTTTATGTAAAAAAATCACTTTTTTTTTTATTGTAAAAACTTTCTATTTTCATTTTTTTTCAATTATTGGTGCCTATATTTTATGTCAAACAGTATAGACTTATAGTAAAGATGCTTGATACCTTATTTTTAAAATTAAGGATATAACTTCAAAAAAAAATAAAAAACACAGTACATACTAACTGAATAGGTAAGTGTCGAAGCTTCAGGGATAGAAATCCAGCTGCTAAATTAGTTTTTAATTTAGGGACATAAAATAAAAATTAAGTTTTAGTAAAATTAATTGAGGTAAGAAATCCAATCTGGAATAATAGTTCAGAGAAATCAATATTAAAATTTATAAGGACGTAAATTAACATAATGTCTGCTAATTAACGCCTATAACTCTGGAAATAGTTAGTTTTATCTTAAAAGCTAATACTTTTAAACATTTATATTGAACATTTTCAAATTTGGAAATATGGGTTGGAGTAATGATTTTTTTGCGCAATATATTACACTGGAATCAGTAACTTATCTATAAGGACAGATCAAAGGGCTTAACGCGCAGTAGGCGCGTGAGAGATACAGGTCACTGAGGCTACTAGGCGAATCCTAGTAGTAGGATACAATTAACTTCTGAAAATAATAT